TTTCAAATAATCCTGGATCCGCCCCTGCTGTATATATTTCACGGTAAAAACATTGTGAACAACTCATTGAATTATTATAATTTGAACATTGTATTAACTTATTATACAGATATACGTATATATATATAAACTTTGTGCTTATTATTATTACTATTGTTCCTGAGACAATGGGAAAAAAGTTATACTGTATGATAGGCCTGATGGTCAGAAGTGGCAAAGTAAGACCATATAGGAGACAGGTAAATTGCAAAATACTTTATGGTAATACTTTTATTGAGCAATGTTCGCCTGGATTACAACAATACAAGTTCAAACTAAGTTACTCTCAGAACAGGCTTTTTTAAAGGCACTTTTACAAATATGTACACAATTTACACCACATTAAAAGTCAGTTTTTGAGTACACTAAACTACACTTTCCATGATTATGCAAGACTTGTTAAAATACTGAGCATAATTTGCTTAATTTCGACATGGTCTGTTTGTTTATGCATGTTTCTCAAATCAGGGTATTACAAGCAAAGAGGGGGACATTTTAAAGTATGTTAACATAAACTGGTGTACCAGTAGTTTATATCATCTATCACAAATGTATATATCGAAAAAGTTGTGGATGGACTTTTCTTTCAAAAATAATACATACAGTACCTCCTTTGCTAGTAAGGTGCTATAAGAGGCTGTTATGGTGGGAAAAATTCTCAATTTACTGAATGATTGGATATGAAAAACAATCTTCCTGTAAGTAACATCTTCTCTTTCAAAAACTTAAAACTGATGCTTATTATTTGCAAACATTTCAAGGCAGGAGTTTATATATGAGATCAATTTTCAGCAGTATTTTAATCTTAATTTTCATGATGAAATCTAAATCATTCATAACCAGAGTCCATTATACCATAAGTCTTGATCCTGGAATGTACCGAGATTCACTCCAAATGTTAGACTCTCCACAATTATTAGTTTTACGTTTACACTGACCACATCTCTTGTACTTATCACACTGTTCGTGTACTAATATTCCTGGAGTTAGAGTTCTAAGTTTTTCTTCCAATTCTCTTCCTTTCTTGATTTCTGTTGATTTGAACCAATCTTCTTCCAGCTTCTTACGATTTGAATAGATGCGACTGTAGCGTTGTGCTCTGTCTTCCATCAACCTTGAGTATAAATAATGTGGCAATCAGAATTTTGACATAAATAAAATGTTTTCTGATCTTTTTGAATAGAACATTGAAAAATGGCAAAAAGATTTAAATTAAGGCTGTGTCAAAAATTCATTCTCTATCAATTTAACTCTCCATGAAATGTAATTCTTATTGAAAGATTCCCAATTTGATCTTTTTGATGAATGATAAATAAACAGCTACTGCAAAAGACTTTAACTATAAGCACGTACTCCTGTTTGGTTTTGTTCAACATTTCCTCTTCGTCTTTCTGGTCTGTAAGTCGCCTCAAAATAGCTTCTCTCTTTCGCTGTTCTACAATATCAAGTTGCTCTCTAAACACATCACGAGCACGTTTCTTCTGTTCAAACAGTTTTTCGTTGGTGCTGTCGAATTTCCCAAAGATGGGTTCGTTGGAATCTGGCACTCTGGCAGGAAGGGGTACTGGTTTAAATTTCAACTAAAATGGAAGAATTTATCACATCTTTTAGTAATAAAACTGGTGAAAAGATTGTTCTACATTTGCTTGCTTTCCTATTTGGTATTTAAACAAAGAACCCTAAAATGAGAATATTTCTATCATGAACATTTCATGCTATTAGCAAATTTAAGAAAAGGAGTCAAAAGATGAAATTAAAATATTACTTGATTAAATTTCTTAGAAGAGGTTTATTACTCATACATAGCCTTTTCAAGCTTTTTCAGTCTTTCAAGCATGTATCTTGGAGGTAAGTTTAGAAAGTACTGAAGGCTAGTGAAGAGAGAGAGAGAAAAAGAAATCGGTGCCTACTTTTGGCAAAGATGGAGAGCTGCCAGGAGAAGAAAACAGTGGTTTGTTTGTGGATGATGAGAAAGGTCTCAGATACTTTATCTGAGGAATGGTGGGAGGGCCCAGCTTATACCGAGATCTCAGGGGAGGGAGTGTGGAAGAAGTAGAGTCCTGAAGCTTAATCTTGATAAAAAGAGATAGAAGAGAAAGAAGAAAGTATCAAAGTAAAGAGAATAAGATAATAAAAGGTAAGAAAAACAGATTATCAAAAGATCATGCAAAATACAGAAAAATACAAACTGGTTTATTACACAATTGTTCATGTAGTTTTCAAAGTTAGGAAACTTTTAAAAATACAGCGGTAGAATTTAAAAAGCAACCTGTATGCAAATGGTTAAAAAACTTTGAAGGAAAGGCAAGCACTATAGTATTTCTTTGAATGTTAATTATAGAAATTGTTACTTTTAGAATTTTACCTGTGCAGAAAGAGCCTTCCTGTACTGATCAGTTTGGTTGACCTTTTCTCTCAAATAGGTTTCTCTTTGGGCAGCAAGACTACAAATAAAAAGACACAAAATTTTGAAATCTTGCACTTTTTTAACTCCTTATATTCACAGTTATGTTTCAAAATCATGTTTGGTACCTTTTCTATATAAAAAAGTAAATTTTATCTCACTTTCAGAAAATACATATATTTCTTGTGAATAAATAAAATATATATAAATAGTAAAATTATGATAATCTACTTACTCTTCAGCAAGCTGTACTTGTTCCAATCTCTCTAAGAAATCCTCATCTGCCTTCCTCTTTCTTTTAGTTACATCTTTGTGATCTACTTGTTTCTCCAAGTCTCTAGACAGCTCATTCTGCTTTATAAACCTTGGTGGGGTTAAGGGACGTTTGTTGAAAATGTAAGCTCTCTGTAAAAATTAAACTTAAATATTCAGCATTCATAAATCTATAACACAATTTTGGAAATAAATGAGACAAACTTAAAGGTTTTATAACTAAAATAAATCTTGTTCAAAAAGACAACCTTTGGTTACCTTTGTGAGAAAAAGGCTTTTTGCTTGGATATCTTTCTATTATCATTTCTTACTAACCGGTGGTTCAAGTGGTTTCATTCGGCCTTTTTCCTTGACAGCTTCTGACACACCAAGGTTGAAGGCTGCAATTTTCTGGTTATCATGCCTTTTGGCCAGGTGGTTAGACTAAAACAAAAAGAATATAATATTATAAGATGCTGAGGGCAAATCAGAACAAATATTAACCTGCAATCACTCTATTCTTTTTTATTCTGTCAAGTCAAGTCAAGGTAGGATGAATAATATCTTTTCTCTTTCTTGTTAAATAAAACTGAACTACAGACTACAGTAGTTGAAAATTCATTGGACAGTCACCTGTTCCTTGAGTATGGACTCTGTGTCTTTCATGTGTTGATACTGCTGCAAAAGCCTGTCTTCTTCCTCTTCTCGCCTCTTTCTCTCTTCAGTGAAGGAGACTGGTATATTCCTCCTAGCACGTTGATGGCAGAGGTAGCACAGCTCCTGACCAGCATTGCTGTGCCCACAAGCTGAGCCAGGAGGAGTGGGGGCTTTGTCCAGGTTAATACGGTCCATGCTCTTTGCCCGACGCAGACTGGCAAGGCCTGGTGGGGATGGAGTTGCATGCCCACTGGTAATAGAAGAAAAACATTAAATAATCATGAAACATACAACACAGAATGATAAAAAAGATATGATAAATTAAATTAAAATGCATTTTAAATCAAAAAGTATATTAATTTAACCAACTCTTAGACCCTACTTATTCAGAGATACTGGTCCAGGAGATCTATTTTGCATGCGATCTGGTAAAGTGATACTCAACTTAAAATAAATAAATAAAATTAGATTAATTTGAAATGCAGCTTACTTTTCTGGTTTAACAATGGGCTGCAATGGTGCTGGACTAGACTGTGACACAGAGGAGGCCCTGAGCAGGGCACCACCTCCTCCAGAGTAGGCTGAAACTGCAGGTGGTTGCATGAAGTCCTCATTGAAACTAACTCCTGTTGCCTTGGCCATAGGGATAGCTGTACGAGAACCATGGCGGCTAGGTGGGGTCTCAAGGCGTAAACCTTGCATACGTTTCAGTTCTGCAGAAAGAAAAAAAAAAAAAACAAGGTAAATTTGATCATATCAAATCAATATAATATAATATAATATAATATAATATAATATAATATAATATAATCCAAAAACTGGCATAAAATATCTAACTGTCACATACGGATGGGTGGTAAGAGGAATATTTCCCATACTAACTGCTAAGGTCAAAAACATTGGTCATTTTATTGTAATGTTTTTGCAAAGAACAGCCACTTGAGGACAAATAAATCAAATACTGAAAGGCTTCACGTTGTTGTAAAATCATAACTGGCATAACTTATTTTATTGTTTTATTGCTGCTCTTCTGTATGCTTTCCTGTCCCACCTGAAATTCTGAACTTCAAATAAATACCTGCCACGCCTTAGCAACATAGCCTCAGATGTTTAATAAGACTTAAAGGTATGAGATCTATTTTTCACAATATAGCAATTATTCTAAAATCTGTGCTTGTCATCGGACCACATGACCTCCATAGATGGCTATTAAAAAAAAAAAAAAATCTGGGACTAACTTTGAATGTAGAAATGGATTATTAACCATTGGTAAGTATGGGAAAATTGTCATTCACCCCAAGAAAATTAATTTTTGGCCAAAATGAACTGTTGTTATCCTTTTAGGTATTGAAAGAAAGGACAAGATATTTTTGGCTTTAAGTAGTAGTAACAAAACAGCTGTTGTAAGTCATATAATGTGGTTTATAACATGCATGTAAATTAAACTATTTTTTTTTTAATTTTCATCTAAAATAAAATCTTTAAAAATTGTAACAAGGCTTTTGTTAATATACAATAACTAACATTTGAAATAGGTTTTTAGCAATGGTGTAACTACATCATAAAGTTTCAAATATTTTTGCCATAATCATAATCTATTTTACAGTAGCATTATTCACAAAGATGAACTATAATGGTTAAGATGATTTGTTAGGACTAACTTTTCATACCTTCATGATAGGACATGCTACTTCTGCACCTTCTGTGATGAGACACTTGTGCTTGATAACTGTCATTACTGTGACCTTTTGAATTTTGAAATTCACCAGACTTAATACATAGACTTATTGACTTTGCCGTACTTGGTCTTTGCGCTTCATAGCGTACAAAATCATAATCTGCCATACTACTTTTGCATCGTCGATGTTCCTTAAATTGCATGCTGCTGTGTGGAGCTGACGAGGGCCTGAGTAGTTCAGGATGAATGTCAAAGTCCTCTTCAGAATCAATCCACATACTGACCTATCACTTTTTCAATGTTCTCAAAACAACCTTTGGGAATATTTTTAAACTGAATGTGGTTAAAAACTGTCAACTACCATTCACTTTTCAACCTAAATGATTAAAACTTTTCCAGCAAAGTTTCAATGAACCAGCTGCAGTCGTCCATCTACAAGTCTGACCCATGGTTACCAGTTTTACTACCATCAACAAACACCATTGAGGCAATTTACTACAACCTTTGACTCTGTCTTTTAACAGGGCACCTTGATAAAAGTTTCTAGAGTTCATTAAGGTTGATGTTCATTATAGAACATGTTGTAGTATGTATGAGCAAAGGTATAATTAATGATGCCTTGATTAGCTTCTCTTTACTTTGTTTGGAAAGCTCAGTGGTTGTTAAGGCTGTCAAAATGATAAAGAATGCTGAATGCATACAGTTCAGTTTTAGCAAAAAGATAAACAGCAATAAGAGTGAGCATCAGAAATGTTAACTAGTAAATTAAATCATCAACTCCACATTGACTTTCAACAAGTTATCTTTGTATATTCTAAAGCATGCAGCAAAAAAAAATGCCTTATTCATTATCTCCAAAAATCATTTAATAAAATCACAAAACTTGCAATTTTTGAACCATTATGCTTGAAATTTAGATGTGTCAATTTAGTTCTATTGATATTATTAACATAATGTTTAACTCACATATTATTTTTAATTACCTTTTTGCCTTTGTCTTAAGTCTGGCCACATGTAGTATTTTCCTAAATGATCCAATGCACTTTGAAAATGACTAGACATTTTCACTTGTAAGATGTGATATTCTTCATATAAAGTAGAAGTATGCACTATAACCTGCTCTGAATGAGCAGCAACTGTTTTTACTATGTGACCACAGTCTTCTGTCAGAGTTTTGATGAACAAACATATATGTTAGCTGTTACTAAAGCAATACTACTTTTATGGCAATCTTTAATGAGATCCTGAAGAGCATTTATGGTGACATAAAACTGAATCTTGGCAAAATAAACTTCACATGTCAAAATTTTTACTGTTGATCACTAATTATCTTTCAAGTCTGCAATTATCTTCCTGTCCTGCTGACACATGCCAAATTAAATAAGCCACCATTTTTTGGAAATTTGTCAGTTAAGCTTATTTTCATTGTTCACAGGTATATTGGCCATCATTTATTTAAAAGGCCTCTTAGCTTTTATGACTCATACCTGAAAGTATACTAATTAATTGTTTGAATGAGTTGGTCATGATTACTGTCATATCAACTATAAGTTCCCCCTATCATTTTCATGTTGCATTTCAGCATAATTGCAATGAACAAACTGTTGTTACATGTAGCAATAAAATAAATTTACAAATACAACTATTTGTGTTAGCACTGGCTTAGCTTATATGCAATGGTTACCTGAAACTCATTGTGATTAGTTTTGACTAAACTTTTATGAAAGAAAGTGATTTTCATATTCTAGCCAGTAATGGATTTTGAACTCATTTTGACTATTGTTAGAGCGCCTACTTCCCCTCCTAAAATGCAACTTTGAATCATCTTTCAATCCTTGCACGGTAACTTTTGAGCTGAAGGATTATTATCATGATGAAAATACTGGCTAATATGGGAAGCTGTTTGTACTTACTAAGTTGTTCTCTCTGCTCATCTGACATATCCTGCATCAGAATTCCGGGAAGATCCATTTCATTCAGTTCTTCAACTTCATCAAATGGGTCTTGGGCAGGCAGATCAGGTGCAAATGTTGGATCATTGACTTGTGCAGCATCAACATCTGGTTCTATTTCCAGGACATTGATCTCCTTGGGAATAGCTTCATCTTCTGTAATGGTGGGCATTCTGGGGCTTTTTGATACTTGGGGCTGCTGATCACCATCCAGTTGTAGGCCATGTGAGCTATGAGTGATCCTAAAGAGAAAAGAAAAATACAATAACTTAATTAGCAGTGGAATTCAATATTCTGCTCATACTATACAAGTAACATGTGCTACATTGTAGAAGATTCTTACAAGGCATGTCCATCACTAACTTGCTATAGTCGAGTTGATAACAAGTGTGAGTTATGTAAAAATGATATTTAAAAAGTTTCCTTCACACTAGTCTACTCTATCCCATTCAAACGTATCATGGAAATGTAATATACAATATATTATTTGTTATGTATACCTATGGAAAATAAGTTTCTAAACACTGATTTCTATAGTTATGTCATTTCTCACCTTGGCAGAACTAAAGTGTTGCTTGAATGAGCTCTAGATGGTGCTCTGTCAGACATCACAGAATCAACTGTGCCAGGTCGCTGGAAATGAACAAATAAATCATCAATAAATGGCAACATATATGTTAATTGACATCCACTGACAGGTCATGGATGAAAATATAATAGGAGACATATTAAACATCACAGGTTTTTGATAGTTTTATTTGTTCATACATATTTATATAATTTTAATAAAATAGCCATATATCACATTAAATATTCCATTTTCTTACGTTTTTCAGTGCATCCACCAATTTCCCTGATCCATCCATGCTGTTTAGGAATTCTTTATAAAATTTCATTTTGACCTTAGATTCTCTAATTTGAAGTCGTCCTATGCCTGCAAATGTAAATTCCACATTTCTCTTGTTTGCCACAGAACGTGCTAAGGCACCAAGAACCTCCTGAACACATATTTCAACTGCATCTCTGTCAAAGGGACTCTCAAATGATATGGCGCTGAAATTCAACTGGACAACAGGAATTTGGCCTGAAAAATTGAAATAAAAAAGTTTTGAGAAGAGTATGCAAAAGATGAAAAATTATCTAATATAAACAAGTAAATGTGATATTAACATTTTTGGTATGTCAAATACATCATTAGTAATTAATCAGAAGAAATCTTATTCAGCAACTGTTATCAACATAAAACAGACCATTGATGTGATATTTTATCAAATAATGTACAAAGACTAACAATTGCATTCTGCTTATAAGAAAATTACCAAGGTCAATACTTTTGTTAAAAACAGTGGCTTACTAGATCAATAATAGCCAAGCAGTATTTATGAATATTGGATATTGATATGTAACAGCAACAATTTGTACAAAATATTACACACTGTCAAAGATGACTCAAAAGAAAGGTCACTCACCAGATACATGGTGCTTGGTATATTGAAGGCCATGTGTTTGTGCAAATTTCTCAGACAAAACAAATACTGGTCTCTGTATCAGAATAAATTTGTTGTTGCCTATATCTAACTTCTTCTGTGTGAAAGTAAAAGTCCCTAGTCCTGGTAAGTGAACAGCCTATAAACAAAATAAAATTGTGTAAAATGTGATTTTAATTGAAAATTTCTATATACTTAATTTTCTCAAACAAAAGCCAAAACTGCTGTCAAATTCACTTCCTGTGGTCACACCCTTGGACACATGAACTGGATTTTTAAACACTCAAAATAACAAATGTAACCTTATATACAAAAATAAATGTGTTAGTTCACTGATAATGCATTAATGTATGTTCATTATTTTAACATTAGAATCTGTGATGTCATCATGTACGTAATTTGTCAAACAGTTTTGACAGCTGATATAATAAATATTCTAAATCATTCACATTGACATTTAATTACATAATTCAATAATTAATTAAAATAACACCTACTGTCAAATAATAAGGGTGAAATATTAGAGCCACTGGGTTGAAGATGTATATTAAGTGAGGAAAAATGCCACATTATTATGACTAAACCCAGCCAAATATCCAGTGCTACCATACATGGTTTCAAATAGTATATAAAATTAATACCATAAATATCAATGAAGTTTCATTTCATTACATCTTTTTGTTGAATTTTTTTTATTATGAACTGTATTGAGGGATAAGAATATCCAGTTTATGACAAGAGATTGGAAGAAGGTTAGCGCTTTCATGCCTTTTTTATTTCAGCATGTTTATTTAATTGGAGTTGTGTAAGAAACTTGTAGAAATAATCTCTGTGTCTCACAGGAAATGTATACAGGGTTACTCTCTCTTAATATGTTAATTTATTATAAATAATAATATATTATATATATTAACAGTAATATTAATTAAAGTTCAATTTTCTTACCTTCTGATTCAGCATTTGCTTCTCAATGAAAGCTGATATATTATCCCAAATGGCGACCACATCTGAAATTAAAAATATCCCTTACTTGAAAACTTTCAAATGTCTATAGATTTACTTCAAATCAACAACAAAGTAACAACCGCAAAGATAAGTTAAACAGCACATGAACATTTTCAAAAGTATCTTCTTCACTCACCTCCATCGTTCAGTTTGGCTCCAATAATTGAGAATTTGTTCTTTTTAGCCTCATCCACAAGGCCTTGCATGACATCCGTTGCCATCTTGTTTATGTTTTATTTTTCTGATTTTCTTTAAACACTGCCTAATTAACTAATAACACTGGTGCAACTGAAGAATTCATCGGCCTGCCACTGGATTATTTGATTGCCCATACACCAGCAGTCGCCAATCACACACACAACGTTGCCAGGGAGAATCCCTATTGTGATTGGCGTAGCTACACCTGACGTCACGCTATACAAATTTTCCCGTATAGTCTCAAACCCTTCAAAAACATTGTAAATCTAGATAAATTAGGTTAAGATAATATAAAATGATATTAATATCAAATTTTGATTCCTCTATTATAAAGAGCATATATAAATGATATTCATATACATATTTGAAACGATTAATGATAATGATAATGATTTTCTACTTTTCTAATCGACCTTCACCTATCAACAAGCATGGTTCAACGTGTAGTGTAAGTTATTTGTATGATAATGAATTATATCAAAATTAGTCAATTTTTAAAACTATTTTAAGGGTTAGGATAACCTACATGTAATTATTGATAGTAAAACATTAAAAAAAGGATTAGTATTGTTAAAGATGAATCATTTTATGAGTTCTGGGTGCCATCCTCTCAAGTGCTATGCGGCACTATATTGCCGACGGTAAAATTGTTTTCAAAAATAATGATTTTAACTGTGCACATTTCCCTTTTCTAGTAAACTTGATGGGCAGTTAAATGTATTCTTGCCAGTGTCATAGATTAAAATGTTAATTTTGACTATTTATTTATCAGAAAACCCAAGACCCAGCGCTCTAAGCGCTATCTTGAGAGCAGAGAATCAAAGCTGACAGAAAACACCAAGACTGCAATGTTCATCCGCGGTGGAAGAACCAGTGAGGTAGTTTCCCAAACTTTAAAAGATATGGTAAGTATACTAACATAAACACATTGGTTTTGAGCACATTTCCTTACAGAACTGTATATATTAAGACATTTTGTCTTATTTCCAAAAAGTACCTTGTTATAATTTTGGAATCGTGAATAATTATGCAGTCTTGTGTCCAGCAAATCATTTGCAATGTTTTTGAATAGGCAAGGGTTTTCTAACATTTTGGTATTTACAGTATTTCCTGAAGAAGCCAGATGCAGTTATGTTTCAAAAGAAAAACATCATGAGACCATTGGAAGATCAAACATCATTGGTATGTGTGAATTAAAGACTTGGCTCATTCACTATTATATACAGCTAGAGTGAATATATATATTATGGCATTTTTCAAAAAGTTGTTTTCTCTCACCATATTTTTTCTCATATCTGTAGTTCTCAAAATCTTTTATATAAAAAAAATTGTTGATTGAATTTCAGGAGTTTTTGTCAGATAGGAATGATGCTTCATTATTTATGTTTGGTTCCCATCAAAAGAAAAGACCAAACAATGTTGTCATTGGTAAGTGGCTATATCATAATAAAAACATCATGCTTTTTTATGAGTATTTTAAAAAGCTTGTAATGAGCCTCATATTTTGATATTAATTCAAAATTGTGTAATAATTTTATGTGCTTTAATTTTATGCAGCTAGTTTCTTGTTATATACCCATGTATTAAAATTAAAATCATATTTTACCATACCAGGACGTTTCTTTGACTTTCACGTTTTGGACATGGTGGAGCTTGGGATTGAAAAATACAAGTCTATGCAGGAGTTCCATGTAGGTTACTTTATATAGACTCATTTTAAGAAGTGTCTTTGGTTAATAATGGGAAAGCAAAAAGAGTAACATCAGTTGAAATTAGTGCTTAAGATAAATTAATTACTTACTCACAACAAGCATAATATATAAAACGTAAAAAAGTGTGTGTGTGTGTGTGTGTGTGTGTGTGTGTGTGTGTGTTTCATTATGTTAAAGGGTTCATTTGATACTTTATTTCCTTATGTTCCATAGGTTGGCAAGTTCTCTTTGGGTAGCAAGCCATGTTTATTGTTTGCTGGAGAAGCATTTGAAAATGAACCAGAATATCAGAGGCTAAAAAATCTCTTGATAGGTAAATGGAAATAGTTTAAACATTTAAGTACATTATTTGAAAAGAATCTACAGTGGTGGTTTAATATGGTCCCCTGAGAGTTGAAGTTATTTTACATTTATGTCTATATTGATTTTACTTCATGATTCTTTCAGATTTCTTCAGAGGCCCAGTAATAGAGAATATCAGACTTGCAGGCTTGGAACATGTGCTTCTTTTTACTACTTTGGATGGGAAAATTTATCTCAGAAATTACAAGTAAGTATTGTCAGAAATATGCAGCCTAAAATGTCAATGCAGAATATAATTTCTCTCACTCAGTTTTAAATGACATGTGTCATTGATACTTGATCTTGTTTTCAATGCAGAGTCCAAATGAAAAAATCAGGATCTAGGACTCCACGAATTGAACTGGAAGAAATTGGACCATCTGTAGACTTTTCCATGAGGAGAACAAGGTTAGCTTCAGATGATTTGTACAAGCGAGCAAGGCAACAACCCAAGCAAGCCAAGGTAAATTTGACACCAGTTCAGGGTCAACTTAAATTCTCACGCACCATACTCTGTGACTTACTACATATTTAATGTCAAGCTTGAGATTTTTCATTATTTTGTTGGAATTCAAGTGTTTTCTTTTTCTGGAACCATTGCTGAGAAATGGGTCACTGTTTCTAGTATTGTTTATTTCAACGGTCTTATACAATCTAGGGAATGTTATTTTAGTATATGACATTTTTGAAAAGAGATTTTCATTTCTTCTTGTTTTCTCTTAGAGCACATTCAGAACAATTTGATCCACAAACTATCCACGAATCAAATATGGCAGACTTACTTAAATGCAAGCTGCTTAATCCCCTGATGGTCTCCCCACCTACACACATGCCATCCCTACAGGGGCCAAGCAATTAAACTTGGGAGCTGAGATTTAATCTGTTTAATGCCATGCATGGAAGCAGGAGACCATCTGGAGAATAAGCGGCTTGCTTTAAGTGAGATCTGCCATATTAAGTTAGCAGATAAGTCTGTAGATCATCTGTTCTGAATGCACCCTTAGAATGGGCAAACCTCAGGTATGTTTAACATGTCTTTTTTCTTATATTTTCAGCCCAAGAAGGTCAAAAATATTAATAGAGATCCATTTGGTAGTAAACTTGGCCGTATTCATATGGAGAAACAAGATTTGGATAAATTACAAACAAGGAAAATGAAAGGACTGAAAAGAAAGACATCAGACAATACAGACAAAAAAGTAGAAGCAAAAAAAGTGAGATGATTAGACAAGGATAAAATTGCAATTTAAATGCTATTTATTAATTTTTTTAGGAATTGGGGGGGGGGGGGGACTTCAATCGAAGTATGCTGTTTTTAATCAGGTGATGGAGTCACCTCATATCAGCTATGCAGACTGCTATGAAAGAATACCTGTGAGATGCAACTAACACAACTTGTGTTAGTGACAATCACTTGAACTTAGTTTAAAAGTAAAATTTATATGAAAAGAAAAAAGAGAGGCAGAAATTTGGGAGGATTTACTAAGATATTCAGCTCAATGTCCAAGGATAAACTATGTTCAAGAAGTGATGCTACTGGTACATGCAGGAGAGCACTTTCCTGTCAAAGAAAAAATTGTTACACATAAGAGGTTGATATCTTGGGTTAGTTTTTTTGTATTCTTGACATTTAGAGCACGTACGTACATGTGCAAAAGGTATAATGTTTTACCAGAAATAAAATAATTACACTTTAAACATTCGGTTAAATTTTCTAAATATTTTTTTCTAATTAGCATTATATTTTGATGTATACACTATACTTTGCCAAGTAATATTACGTACGTTTTTCTTTGGATAGGTCAACATTCTACGCCTTTTGCCCGCAGTCCTCGACCATTTTGTGAATTTTAATCTCATTCAATTCAAGTTCTAAAAGTTGTTATTGAAGATGAATTTATTGCTGCTTAATGCGTTTTGACACCTACGTCGTCCTTAATCTCTCTTTTTGTTTTGTGTCTGCCACTTCTCATTTTAACGTGTCTAGAAAACCCGTGCATGGGCATTTCCTGCAAATGGTCAACCTCAACATAAAATTTTCAAAATTGGTCTAGAATCTAACAAAGGGTGTCATTTAAAAGCAGAACAGTTGAAGTTTTTGGAACTACTGGAGTTTTTAGAATATCTTTTGATTTTAGTTAAGAAAAACTCTGTCAAATGTGGTCCTTTTTATAGCTTATTTTTCATAATCCAGTTAACAAATTTAAATTGTGAAAATTTTCATCTTAAAATACATTAACAAAATTTTGTAGTATACATCAACAATTGGCACATGTCTAAAATTCAACAGAAAAGAAAAAAATTGATAAAGCTCTTGACGTTTATAAGAAATTTGATGAGCTTTTGGTGTGGAGGTCAATGTACATCTGTTACAGAAAATACACATTTTTTTTAGTTTTACTAAAAAAAAGTTATTAAAAAAAGCTGATTTTTTTGCAAAGCACACTTTCACTCCTCTCAATAATGGTACACAAAATAATGTTTTACCATGTTTTAATTTTATGTAAATATTAGAACAGAGGTACACATTTTTGCGTAACGGGCGTACATTTTGTGATGAATATCAAGTACAGAAGGTTTTATTCTTCAATAGAAAGCCATTAAATAGAAATTGATTATCCCGTCTGATGCATACTGCATACATAGTTATGTATCAGTGATGAACAACTGATATGTAAAATTACTAAAAACTGTCCATTGAAATTCATATTATTGGGTTTGGGGTTTAAACTAGCATAATGATGGTAAAAAATCTTTATGTGTTCATCATCATCATCATCAACATCATCTCTGCTAATTATGGCATCATCATCTGTGTTGTGCTGGTCAGAAGATCTTATGAGAATATTCTATAATTTGGTAGAACATCCTTAAATTCAGTAGATAAAAACATTGTAGAATTCAGTATGATGACAGTTGAATTCAAGACGTCTATAGAATCCTCTATCAATAGTAATCCACAGAAACACCTAGGGGTTTCCATATCTAGGGGACACAGGCATGCACGCATGCATGTGGGCGCACACACACATCTGTCATGTAAATTACTGCTTGCTGATTACGGGATACTTTTTGCTGTACTTACTAAAGTTGAGTAAGACACTCCTGAGAAAAAAGCATTTGTCAAGTTATCAAATACCATAATAATCACTCTCATCACTTTAAAGGTAAGATATGCTTAGACTTTTTAAAAATGATAAAGCAATCTTTATTTTATAATACATTATGTTTATTTTTTTTTTATCTTTTTAAGAATGAAGGAGCAATGATCCACTCATGTGCATACTATTAATTAACACCTTTGTTGCATTTTCATTTGCAGTAAACATCCTTAGTTTATTCTATATATCCCATGATAATTCTTTTGAGATGCTGGGTCCTACAAGCAAAGAGCGTATGGCCAAATTTAGAGCAAAATTTAAGCAATACCCTGACAGGATGATGATGAACATTATGATGAAAACTTAAATTTTGTTTTGATTTCAAGCATTGCTGTAGAAAAGGAACATGCAAATAATATGTTATAAGCCATTCTAATCTCAGCATGGGCAAACACCCTAGAGAAGTGTTTGTTGGCTATGTTCCATCTATTAACCATTATGTTAATTGGTCTCAGATTTGCTGGTCACTGACTAGTTATCAAATGAGAAAGTTATTATAATTATTCTGTTTTTTATACTGTTCCTGCAAATTTCTATGTAGGAAGAGATTTAGAATCATGCACTTATTATGTACAGACACAGCATGATCAGGCCTTTTTTTTTTTCAAAAGTTATGTTTTTTTTTGCGCTTTTTTTTTCAGCATATATGCAACACCAATAACACCAATAAAACGTATAGTCTAGTAAAAACGTTTTACCCTTTGGCTAGTTCACATTTCAGCTCTCATCATATCAAAATGAAGTTTTTGGCACAAAATTCGCTTAGTCAATCTTTTGACTGGCCTAATAGAGTTGGAAAGCTGGAGTGTGTGCCTCTATCTTTTGTGCTTTTAGGTCCTATTGTTTTAAAAAGAAATCAATCATTCACCATGGACACTTTTATCACCATTTTGAAAAGGCTTGAAGAAATTAAAAAAAGAGTCTAATTCATGGTTTTCAACAGTTTTGTTTAATCTAAAAAAAAAAAAAAAGGAATTTAATAAACTTCTACATGTAGATGAGAAGTTTTATCATGTGAAATGCGGCGTCCGCCATATAGATAAACGTCCCAATAAAACATTCGTCCCGATAGATACGTCTCTATACATACACGTCTCAATAGATTTACGTCTCGTTAAATTTACGTTCCGATAGATCCACCAACGTATGTTGGTTCCTATAAACCCACGTATCTTTAGATCCAGGTACCGCTAGATCCATCTATCTGACATCGTAATTAATCGGCTAAAATGCCGATATAAACTTGAGATACAGGTATGAGGCTTTTGAGAGATAGTCTGGATGCGAGTACTGACCCACTCAGTGAGATGACTTAATTACAACCTGATATTTATTTATTTATATATTTATTAGGTGTTCAAACAAGACATAGGCCTACATGTACTATCATTTACTCCATTCCGCAATGTACGCACGTAACGTCATCAATGTAAACTACTTGTATTGGACATAAAAACGACACAAATTCGTTATTATGTCCAAGATGTAAGTAACCTCTCTCTCTCTCTCTCTATATATATATATATACAGCCGATTTTTGCCTGCAAACTTTGGGTATGTTTGCCAACCATACAATAATGGTTTCTATCAAGTATACAAGACAGTTATCAGGCAGAATCATTCATGAAATGCCCAAATAAATCATACACAGCATAAAATAAGAAGGGTTTACTTGTAAAACTCTTAACATTATTTCATCAACTTTTGCCGAGTTCTTAATTGACGGGGGTGGTGTGTGTGTGTGTGTGTGTGTGTGTTTTCTTGGATTAATCACTATGACAAAAATATATAATCTTAGGTTCCTGTCAGAAGCTTTCGTAATCAAAACTAAATGAATGTAAGGGTGCATTCCCATAGATTTTAGATCGATCTATCCCCATGGGGAGTCTCACTAGATTACTGTCATATAATCCGGCTTAAATGTCCGTCCTGCCTACTACAAGCTGTAAGGGGGTAATTAACTTTCGTGCCCGCTCGGCTGACAGCTATTTAGCGTGAACCCCCAGGGAGTTAGGTCGATCTAGTTTGGATCGATCTAATCTCTGGGAATGGGGTCTAACATGAAAATAACAAAACATCTAGTGAAATCATGAATTTCTGTCAGATAATGCATTAGTAGGCCTAATGTAAATTACCCGAGTATTGCGTAAAAACGATCTATAGTATAATAATTAATTGCTGAAAGGATTAATATGTGTACTCTCGTTTTAAACAGTGCATTTTATGTACTGAGTAGTATACCAACCATTTTGAGCAATAGTGTACCTGCAATGGATCTATCGGTATTTGGATCTAAAAATACGTGGATCTATAGGTATGCGGATTTATAGGACGTGGGTTTATGAGGACGTCGTATCTATAGGAACGCAAATTTATAGGACGGTGGTAAAAAATCGGATCTATCGGTATTTAAATCTAAAAAGACGTTTTTTCAGTTTTCCCTTTATGTATCTATCGGGAACGGGAGTACAGGGACGTGTAATATTTTGGGACTAAATTTTATCCGTACGTACCCTGAAATGCTATTTTCCTATGAATAAAATTATTTGATTTAGGTTGTTGTTGTTCATAACTACATGTCTAATTTTATTTAAATGTGTACTTAAAAATTATTAATTATGTAAGAGCAGTGTAATTAGTAAATAAAGTTGATGTACTTCATAAATACTATTTTATTTTTATGTACGTCTGTTGCGGTCGCACAAGTACGTCTGATACGGCCAAACTGTACGTCTGTTACATCAAAGAAAGTATTCCAGCTCAGTCGTTTCAATCAATCTCTTACCTTGACCTGATATTTTATCAACCTTAACATCATGTTTGCAATATATATATTTTTTTCAAAATTTTTGGGCTGCAAGCTTCGCAGAGTTTTTGAGATGAATAAAGCAAGTTGAAAAATCTCATTTGTATGCATACGTCTGTTACAGGGGTGTTTTCAATATGCTTCACATGCAAAGGAGTTGAATCATATTACTTTATATGGTTATTTAACCACCTAAGATACACATATTGGCCACAACAAATTGGCCCCAAATGTACAGGATTTTGTGCAGTGCACTGCCAAAGTGTGCAAAATGTACGTCCATATCGCCGGATATTGCCCGCATCTATCTTCCAAGTGCGTTAGATGAGACAGTTTGCGCAAAAACAATCTGCGTAGGAAAGAAAGTGAATGCGACAGCCGGAAGTCGCACGACAGCGGCTTTGTTGACCTCAGTCGAGAGTGCATTATACTATTTTCAGTTTTAATCAAAATTGTGTTTGACCTTAGGTAACCATAAGGTGATGAAATTAGAGATTGTTTCATGATTTTTGAATTTATCTGTTGGAGGACGTGGCTTAATTGAATGTACAATATGCTGATACTGACGGTTTAGGCTTCACTCTTTCTGTCAATCCCAGTAAGAATGACTTTGACAGGTTTGTCAGGAGTGCTGTCGTAGTTATGTGCGGGTTGAACGAGTCGATTTGCCTACATTGTATGTTGAAAAGGCAACAATGGAGTCATTAGGACGCATTTAATCGCCTGCTGAGATGTATATTTTTATTGAAGACAGTCCAACTACAAGGAGCGACTGTACGATACATTCCTTATCATGGATGGGAAAGGTAAAGTGCAAGCAATTTATAAATTGTAATACAGTGAATGCATATTGTTGTCCAACAGCATGTTATTGGACAGAACTTAAGACTTAACCAATGAAAGATATTTGTGGATAAATTCTGCCATCTTTCATTCATTGACACACTGCACTCACTAGTCTGCCATTAATTTCAAGTCCTGACCGCACCCTCCTCCAAGTCCTTTGAAATCTTGATTGATTTGACACCAAGTTGTGAGTTTTTGGCTCTTGAATTGTTAACATTAGCATTTAGAGTTATGATCACCTTAATCAAGTTATGATCAACTTGATGTTGTCTCACTCTGGCACAAGAATGAAGAGAATAGGGTATGGGAAATGAAACACTTGCTACAATTATAACCATTAATTTGATAACAAATTGACAAAAAAGTGGTGCTTTGGCTAAGTGAAAAAAATTGCTAGCGCTACCCCAGTCTAGGATGCATGAGAAGCCATTCAAGTCATGGTGTGCAAGCTTTCTGTGCAGTGCTCACTTTGCATTCTTTAAAAACATAAAAACACTACAGTGCTATGCTTATACATGTAGTAAAGGTTTAGAAGCAGCTGACATTGTTTTCACACCTGTGGGACCTGTAGCTTCCCTTTGACACATCCATCAATAATAATAATAACCAAAGATGTATCAGTAGGTTTGGCTGTTGACAGAGTATTTCACACCAATGGAGCTTACCACCACCTTACAGGCAAGTCAACAATAGGCAAAACTATATCTGGTTGTGAGCAGCTGCCATTGGTTTTAAAACCTGTGATGCTTATAGCTCCTGTCTAACAAGTAATCAGTGCAGTAACACATCGAAAAAGACATAAATGACAGGCAGCACATCTGGCTAGAAATAATAGATTGGGGAGCCATATTTTAGATTTGGGGCTTGAATTGGTTGCTACAGATTGTAGCATACTTCATCAGTATGCTCGTTTTTTTTTTCATTTAAAGGCACACTCAATGAGATTTACCCTCTAAAATGGATTTTCTTGGGCAAGTAAGCACTTTTTTTCATACTCACAAATCATTTATCTATCATTCTCTGCACATGGATTAAATTTTTAAAGGTTGATTTTAGCTTAAATTGACTGGCCAGTCAGTACAACAGCGACCAATTTTCCTATAAGCTGCAATGGAAATATCAGCATCAGGTTCGCTCCAGAAAAAAATATTTAATTGGTTAAATAATTTTTAAGGTGTATACGTTTTTATAAAAATCTGTGGATGGCAAAAATGAGCATTTTGGGGATTTTCAAACCCACTGAGTGTATCTTTAACTTCAAAGCATTGATCCAGCTTTGATGTTTTGTTGTCTCCAAAGCTGGGGTAAAATAGCTAAAGAATATAGCAAAATGGTTCATAAGAATCATAACAATCATCACTATTCAATAATACCTTGTAAATGAATGAAAAATGCTGATTTAGATGACAGGAACTGAAGTAGTTTTTAGAATATCGAAAACCGACCTCTTGTAAATAGAATTACTTGTCAGTATCAATCTCAAATAGTGATGTTCTCCATTAGCAAAAATATGCATACACATATACATGTACTGTACTACTGAACTGTACTGAGTAAGTGCACATGCAGTATTTGAATCCAGTTTTTATCATTTGGAAGCAAGGCTTTGGTCAATGTCCATATTCAATATGTGCTCACCTCTGATGAACTCCAGTAAGGGTCATGGTAAAAGTTTATCTATCCATTTAATGGTTTTAGTCCTTCAAGTATCCATGCACAGAGTGTTACATTTGGGTTCAAAACCAGAGGAGTGAATCACTCGAAAACCAACCACTATGAAATATAATTGTACACCTTTTTTTTCTGGTCATCCTTGTCTGTATTGCTCATACACTACATATATGCCTTTCTGTTTGAAATATTAATTTATCTTTTTTCTATCACTAGATAGCTAGCCAGTGCATGTATACAACTATGAACCCAAAATTTGAGTGATGAATTTTTTTCATACCAATGCAGGTTCCAGAAATTCTTCCCAATGAGGATGGCTGGCAACTGGACCGCTCAGAGTACTACCAGGAAGGCTGGTTGGCCACAGGGAATGGCAAAGGAATTGTCAGTGCAACTTTCACCACAAGCCACTGTGAGAAAGACACTGATGTGCCTAGCAGAACAAATTTTAACCTTCGTGGACATAGGAATGAGGTAAATATTATCATATTTGCGTTTGCATGAACAAGAAAGCTAAATGTATACTTTATATTTCAGCATTGATGGGAAGAATGATGTCCAAACTTAGGGTGCATTCACAATAAAACTATCATATACTGCCAGTATGAACTAACTCTGCGGGGTCTCTCACTGAATGCAATCAGGTTAAAAGATTATCACTTCTCCTGGCATTGAGTAGAATAAAGAAAAATTGGTGATTATATACTACTACATTGGAAATGAGGATAATAACCTCATTCCTATGTTCCTTCCTCATACGGATGTTAACACCCTAAGATTGATTTGAACTGAAATAGGAGAATATCATCATCAAGATTTTATGTTTCTTTCTAAACAAACCAGATTTTCATAAAAGACTCCATTTAAACCAATGTAAGATTTTAAATCTCAACCACACTTTTATTTTTTCAAATATACTGTATAACAGGATGGTGTTTCATTATAATAGTTATGCTCTGTTCCATGATATTAGATTATTTAAATTTCTGGTTGTTAGCACTATAATTGGAGGTTCTATGCTACATTCCTATATTTGGAGGTTCTATGCTACATTCCTTTTGTATGCTTGCTCTCGACTTGTGTAGTGCTGTGTTTTACCAATATATACTTGTAAATAGAGTGGTTGGCAGAGGTCTTCTTTATCATTTTCGTTTGCATAGTTAAAATGTGAAATAAAACAGTGAATGTACATGTAATTTCCAAATAATACACTTTAGAAACAGACACAACAGTACCTAGACCAATATTATATCTTCAATAACACATATCATTTATTGAGAAATCATTCTAATTGATTGTATAATTTGACAATGAATATCATGCCATATGATATTTCTGCCTGAACTTTAATTCTTTGCAATAAACAGCATCAACAAAGGAAAATGAGCAATGTGGAGAGCGTTTGACAGCATGTGTATGTGTGTGGTGTATCTGGATTGGAATGAGAGAGAGAGAGAGAGAGACTCTAATAAGTGATTAGATCTGCATAATTGTGATATTTGCTTGATGTTGTGTGTGCACTTAGACTAGTTTTCTTTTTCATAACCTGGGGTAAGAGTTGATGACAGTATTGGTAAGTATCAAGAGTAGACCAATATATATATTCCCATAAATGGATTCAGCATTCAAGCCTTATCCTTTCCATTGCCTGAATGCATATGAGTAATGGGAATACATTCCCTGAAACCTGTGGATATGATGCTTTTTCAGATATTGATTCTCAGACCATCAAATATGCTTTTAGTCTTTTAGCAACAGTGCATACTAACTTGGAGAAAGGACAGGCCTTATATACGGATTAGGTGTTTACTAACACTACCCGCAGACCTTTTAGCACTAACATCCATATTAACCACATAACCCACAAATTAACCAGCACTACCAGAGCAGGTGAATGTTAGTGCTAGGTATCACTTTGTTGGTGCTAAATGATTTTAAGGTGTGTTGGATAATTTGTGGATTTTGTGGTTAATATGGGCTTTAGTGCTAAAAGATTTGCGGGTAGTGTTAGTAAACACGTAATCCGTTTTATAAGGCCTGAGGAACACCAGAGAAATTCACATTTGTCACTTAAAATACTTCTGTGAAGAGTGCAGAACTGCTTAGGCATAAACATTATTTGGATTTGGCTGCTGATACAGACTAGTACATAATTAGATTTAGCACTTGGAAGTTAACCCAAACTATGTCATTTCAGACAGATTATTGTATTTGGTGTGCCTTACTTTTAAGTACTTTATTCTGCACTCATAGACCCCATTCCCATACCTAGATCGATCTAGTGGGATTGGTCTATCTCCGAGGGGAGTAGCTGAATTGCAGTAAGCTTACAAAATCTTTTGTGTGGTCCCTTTATGATAAACACAATATACGTGCTTGCCATGTGCAAAGTTTGACAGCTACAGTGCATGTCCAATACCACTAAAAGGACTGCACAATGGCTACACCAAAAATCAGTTTTTAAAGCAGAAAGATGCTTGTATTGTGGGTCTGATTTTCGATTGCAAGGTATTCTTAGTTCAAACTTCAAACTCCATGTCAGTCACTTTGCTTCCTCATCTCATCTGCACGAGATGATGTCAGCTCAAGACGGGAAAGGTAGCTCCAGTCGGGACAGATCTGTGATGTACAAGACATGTGACTTCCAAATATGGAAGTGTCCCAGACAAAATTTTGCCAAACACACCTGCAGTATGTCTTCAATGGCTAGAGTTAGTATTGCTGATATGGGTTATATATGAAATCAAGCTGGCAATACTGAAATCTAGAACCTATAGGGTATATTTTCATAACTTTATAGGGAAATGGCAAGTAAATCCAAATTAAAATAGGAAGATATAAAGACAATGTTAATCCTATTTTAAAAGCAATCTGTTTAGTATTTAGGGATAATTTGAAATGGTATATGAACGTGACTTTAGAATGCAATTAAACATGCAGAGAGGATTTTGCCTGCATCACATTCATATAAATTGTTGGCCTCATCATTGATTTTTAATCATAGAGTGGTCTGTGAGCTCATTTTAACTCTTCACTCTAGCACTTGATATGCTTCCTCAGTTCATAACAATGATGTAAAGAGTTTGAGTCCTGCTACTGCTGATGGTAAATAAATTGTAGAACCCTGTTGGTGGAAATTGTGTAAATGTAGTACATGTAGGTCCTAGGCTATCCAATATGGGTACAGTGTATATAAGGCCCCAGGATATCCAAGAGAGGCGTGTGAGAGGCTGAGAGACCATTAAAGGATTACCCGGTCTTCCTTTCATGTAGGTTCGCCATATTTAGGTCTCGGCCTTGCTGGACCTCGGCTCTTCTCGATGTGAATGCTCCCAATCAGATGAGCCAACACATTGTAAATGTGGCTAGACCCATGGGTGGTGTTTTTCCTTGTGAATCGGCTTTTCTTGATCATATCATGACCTTGATGGACAGAAAACCATGAGGTAAAGAATTCAGTGAATGGGATCCGATGCAAAGCCAAGGGCCTCATGGGATGTACATGTAGCTCACTGATGTGAACCCCTATTGGCTCAACAAACACAGAATAACTAGTAATTTCAAACAAATGTTATGCTTAATGAAGAGAATCCTTTCAAAAAATTCAATGGAAAGAAACAATACTGTACATGTTGTTAAATGAGTTCAGATAACCTTTTTTGCTTTGTAAATTCCATTATGTTTTGAGATTGATGCAATCTTTTATATTAGTCGCCTAAATTTTCTACAATGTTTATGTAAATGATGACATGTCATTGCATGAGTAAACTACCAATACACTTTTCATGAAACATAAAATTATCGTATGTATGGAAAACACTGTGACAGTTATTCATCTTTTTAAGATGAGAATTTTAGTAGGTCAGTATATATTGTCATGAATATTTCTTCAAAACTTTGTTGGTTAATATTTGGGTTTTGGGCCAGTGCATCCTGGACTTCAGATTATCACCTATACTTACTTACATGTTACTCTTTGGTTCAAGATAAACTCCTAAAAAAAGGCATAAGGGGTATCCCTAAATTGAGCAATACAGTGCAATACAGGACAATACTGTGCAACACAGCGCAATACACTTGAAAAAATGAGTCCAGTCACAAGTAAACAAATGTTCATTCCAAACAAAATAGGATTATATAAGAGCGAAATATATTACTAAACAATTAATAGTGTTGGTACAACTTAACAAATAGGCACAATTTGTTTATTGTCAGGTCAGATGACATGTTGGCTAGTCGCTCTTTATGGCCAGTAATATTGTCAAGAAGAGCCACAAGCCAAAATGACTGCCGTCTCGACGATATAGAAGTTGCGCCAATGTTTCAAGTTATATCAATGATATTGATAATCTGTTCAAATAGTTTGCTTCTATATCACCTTATTTTGTTGGGAATGACTGTTTTCTTTGTTAAATTGCAACTGCATTAAATTTTGTTTTTTTCAAGTGCATTGCACTGTGTTGTTCTATATTGCACAGTATTAAGCAATTTAGGGACCTCGGGGCATAAGTGTGCTGATTAGTAACTGGGTTTTCTACAATTAAGTCTCTTAATTAAACCTGAGTTGGAATGAGTGTTATGTCTTTATGTTTTCAGTGACCAGTCAGTGTCAAATGTTGCCATTATTTACACTACTGTGCACACCATTATCATCATATATAACACTTTCTTTCCTAGAAGTATGTTATTTTTATTGTTAATATGTGATCATATAGGTGAATAGAGGGTGGATGAAAGCAGGAAATTAAGACACCTATAGTTATTATGAATATCTGCATCAAGAAAGAAATGTTGAGTGTCTAGAGTTCAATGATGTGATCCTTATTAGCATGCTGTCTGATTAGTTCATCATAGAAAGCTATTCTAACATGGCTGACCTCTATGGCAGTGGGCAATACAGGGGAATAAGATGTGCTGCCCATGGTGAACCTTTCATTATTCGATCCCTCAATGAGATGGTTTTCACCAATATAGGTTGATACAACTTGGCTGAAAACACATTGTGTGAACCTGGAACAAATAATTTTAATTACCATATTCTAGGAGCTAAATCCAATACCTGAGATCTTAAATTATATCTTCAATATAACCTTTACCTTTCCCTTTTGATATTCATTTTTAACAAAGCTGGAATGTTGGGTTTAATGTGATTTTTTTTTATTGTTGATTGAATATTAGAAATGGAGACATATATTTTCTTTTAGGTTGTAATGGTTAAATGGAATGAGCCATACCAGAAGTTGTCAACATGTGATACAAATGGCATTATTTTTGTGTGGATGAAGCATGATGGACGCTGGTCAGTGGAGCTGGTCAATGATAGAAATGTGCCAGTGAGTAACATCAGAAGGAATTTATGTGAGATCACAATAATTGAAAAACTGTACAATTGAACTTCAGCTGATGAGGACAGAGTACAAATACCATTAATATACATCAATGTTGTGGATATTGGTTAATATTATTTAATAATTGCTATTATTTATAATCAAGGTAACTGACTTCAACTGGTCTCATGATGGCCGCATGGCACTGATCACTTATGAAGATGGTTTCATCCTTGTGGGGTCAGTAAATGGTCAGAGACACTGGTCAACAAATCTAAACCTTGAAAATGCTACAGTGAAGACAGGAGTGTGGTCTCCAGGAGACCAGGAGGTAGGAACATTGTGCTTGGTGTGAACTGAGATGTCTCTTTTGTCAGTAATGTGAATGAAATCATGAGTTAGAAGATGAAGCTGAGAGATTGTTTCCATGGTAGCCCTCTGTAAGAAATGTGAATAATGGTTGTTTATCATATTAGTGCAAACTGAATAGCACAAACCGAAAATAAAGTAAGAAATGCAGGGGCGGATTTAGGCCGTCTTCTGGGTCTTCTGGAAGAAAGTCAGATTTTGAAGTTTACATTGACAGGTATCTAATTTTTTCTGTTGGAAGACGGTCAAAATTGGAAGATGAATTAACAAAGATAATTTGGAAGACTGTCAGAAAATAGCTCTGGATCCGCCCCTGAAATTTATAGAATATATGAAAATGTATGATATATACAATAACTAATGTCGATTTAGGATCATCAGAGTTTAAAATGTCATACAAGACGAGAAAACATGAAAGCATCTGCTGAAGGATATTGTCAACCTTCACCCAAAACCCCTTATTAAATGCCTTACATACATTCTTTTGGGTAAAAGATAAATCCTCTGTGTTCAGTGGTTAAATTAATTAACATTTACACATATGTCATATGGTGGTGTCATAATTGCCATTTTAGGGTAAAAACTGAAAAAATTGGTTTCTCAAATTTCTCCTTTACCTGAGCAACCATGATCACCGTTTCAGTGCCTTTTAGTACTCCACAACCCTGCCAGCAATTCTTCTTAGAAGTCTTGGTTATCGATTTTTCTTAGAAGTCTTAGATTGTAGCCCATACACTCTGGGTCAACTCTGCCAATTTTCATGATAAAATCTTGTTCAGGGATGAAGTTATGCCCCATACTGATTGCTATCTCAAAATAGAAAGGTGTTAAATTGATGATTAAAGCTTTGTGATACCTATGCTTATACATTGCAACAAGAAATATAAATGCTGGTAGTTAATATTTTCAACAATTTTTTATTGTTTTAAATCAGCACAAATCAGCAGGAAAAACTTCATTTTCGATATCTGGATGATAATAAAGGGTTACAATATCCTTAAGGGGGGTCCACTTTTTAGTGATGAGGGTGAAACTCTAATGCACATGTATGGAATATTAATAGACTGTAATTCTGCAGAATTTAAAAAAAATTATGTCAGCTATCATTTCCCTACTCTCCTCCAAATCCCACAAAATTTCTCTTGATTTTGTATTTTAATACTTAAAAGTTGTGAGACTTTGGACCATCTTAAATGATCCCCATTAAGTTCTACTAAGCAAAATTAATACTATATTTAATAATTATGTGATAAGATCTTGCACAATTCATTCAGGATAATAAGTTATTAATGTTAAAAAATCAACATGGCAAATTCTGTTTAAACCTAATTGCATTCAAATTTTGTTTGATGTAATATATTGTGAATGGTATTTTCAGGAGTTTTCAATCACTGATCTAAAATCTTCTCATATAATTAAGGTGCTTCTTGGAACTAGTGATGGTCAGATAATAGTGCTGACCTCCAGTGGTGCTACAGTGACCCAGGTGACCATCCTCAGTGGACAGGAAATGTCTCACATGGCCTGGTCTTGTGAGAAGTTCTCTATGGAAAGTGATGGGACAAATTCTCCTAGTAGAACTGGTAAGAGCTAACAACAGAGTGGTTGGCAGTGCAGCCTAACATGGTAAAATTATCTTGCAAATTTTTTTTTTTTTTTTNATGTTAAGTTTACTTTCAATAACGTCTAGTTTCTCAAGTTTTTGGCACATTTTTTCTAAAGTTTGTGCTATGTCTTCAATCTTTGAGTCGTGGACTGCTTGCTGAGTACTTATCGTTCTTGTTTGAGGGTTTGCTGGCGTAACACGGAAAGTATCGTTGTTATTCATGACTTTATTGGGCGCCGCAGGCGTTGAACAAAGCTGTGCTAGCGTGAAATCCTCACTGCTTTGAGAATTGCTCATCACCGCGATCTTATTACAAGATCCCTATCTTTTTGATAGATTAATTTGGACCACTTATTTTAAGATAATCCCGAAGTTGATATTTCCATTGGAGCCTATAGGAAAATGGTCTCTGTTATAATGACTAGCCAGTCATTTTAAGCTAAAATCAAACTTTATGAATTTTATCAAAGACAGAATCCAAGTGCAGAGAGGGAAAGATAAATGATGCAGGAGTATGAGAAAATTTGCTAATTTTCCAAGGAAAATCTATTCTCATGGAGTGCACCTTTAAGCAAAGTAGAACATTCTAATATAAAGTCTCCATATTGAATCAGATAAGTTATTTAACTTGGGATAAAAGCACTTGTTGTAGATGCTATCATTTGCCAGAAAACAAAAATTTAAACTAATCAATACAGGATCATATTTTAAAATGAAAAGCATCATATTATTTCTCTCATTTCATATGTTATAGGTGAGGGTACCAGGTGTCACTCCCTGGCAGCCAGCTTTAAAAGTGGTGCTATACATCTCCTTTCAAATTATGATGACCTCCTTCCAGTGGTCATACAGACAGGTTTACAAGGTTAGTATGTATCAATTGTATCTAGTTGTATTCAGACTTAAAAATAGCGCCACTTAATGACTTTTTCATTTTCCCATTATTTAGTTGTTCAGGTATTTAAGATTTTAGGCCTAATTAGTCAGTTTGTGCCAAAAAAGTGGAATTATATTATAGCAAACTAATGGCAAAGTGTCAATTTTCAATATAGTGTAGGAAGTATTTGGAGTAGTGTTTCAATCTGAAGGCTTGTTTACATGCATCTGTGAGAAGCAGTTTCAGTGTTAGGTACCAGGTTTTACTTGCCTATGATAAGCACATATTGAAAATGGTATATTTACAACCACAAAAGGACCCAGAATATAAAAAAAAAATAATGCTTAGGATAGACAAAGAGCTTCATCCTTATAAATACATGGGTGTTGATGGAAATTTTTTATCTACTGATTACTTGTTGTAAGTAAGATGCATGAAGGAAAATTGATTTGAATCTCTTTGCTGATGGTTAGGTATACAGATGGAGTGGTCTAATGATGGAGAGTTTCTAGCCGTTGGTGGATATAACCGTCTTCCTAGCTTAAACTGTATCAGTAAGCTGCTCCTATATACAAAATCAGGAACCCTGCTGCTGTCAATGACAATTCCTAACCAGGTATGTGTTCAATTCAGGTGATGGTCACCTGACCTATTAGTGCTATCAAAGTTGATAAGAGATTACAGAGTAATTCTTGGCTTACAATCTAAATAATGGGAATCATGTCTGTGTATGACTTGTCATTTAGGTTCTAAGTCAAGAGTAACTGTTTTATCAACTTATCTAGAAAGCAATGGCATGAAAATTTTAAAGTATTTTACAGTTATCAGGAGTTTTTGCATTTATAATTGATTCCAATTATAGATCTTTTGATATATTGAACAAGTTGATCAAAATTGTTCTAGCCCAAACCTCTGACAGCATTAACATGGGGCCACAATGATAAGCGTCTGTTCATAGCCACTGGATCAAGAGCCTATGTGGGCCGTGTGAACAAAGAAGTGGCTCCACTACAACTTCTGTGTGAGACAACGGTTAAGGGTTGTCTTAGTTCTGAGAGTGACCTGCAACATTTGCCTTTGCCACTCAAGATGAAATGTCATCTGGACTGTTTGTTTATTCCTACAATTCAAGTAAGTACTGGTATAAACATAATAGACTAAGGAGTGAACACTTATATGCTAAGGAATTTGCAGTTGGGCACCCTGTGTTTTAGATCTTTTGAGAAGCTCCTCTGTAGGCATCAAAGCTACTTGTCACTGACATCTGTGGTGATAGCAGGCTTACTATGGGTATAGAGAGATACTGTCAGTTACTCTGAAATATAGATTGCTTTAAAAAACTAATATTCTGACTTATCGCAATGTTGGATGAGCTAAACAATCCTGATAACTATATCAGATAATACTATCATTTGACATGTATTTTACTATTACATCACTTTCTCTTTCTTCATGTATTCTTCATTGTATTCCATTTCTTGTTTGAAAATGTTCCATCTTTTGTTTCAGAATTACATTCCACCTCCTGAAAAGCTTCGAGATTTTGTCATCCTGCCTCCATCAGACAACGACAGGTTTTATTGCACCATGATGAGACATGGGGATGAAAGCTATGGAGGGTATTACATTCTATATCTAGAGTACCTAGGGGGACACATACCTATACTTAAGGGGAGGAGGAACAGTAAACTAAGACCAGAGTTTGTGATCTTTGATCCATCACCAAAAGGAATGATCAAAAGTAAGGGATAACTTACCATATTGGTATTAATTCTTCATATTTAGAGATAGGACCTTGAAGGGACCATTCCCAGACCCTATCATACTAACTGTGTAGGGGATTCTCGCTAAATTGCAATTAACTAAAGCAGCTTAGATGTCTATCCCATCTACTGAAGCTGCTAGGGCATAATTAATAATCGTTTAGCAGCTTCTGTAGGCGTGCCAGACATTTAAGCCGCTTAAGCTGAAAGCAATTTAGCGAGAAACCCCTCGGAGATNGTTTTCCATTATTATTATTATTATTATTATTATTATTATTATTATTATGTTTGTAATCAGGTTGCCCTGTAAGAACAACGCCAAGTGCATTCCGAAGTGGAAGCGATGTAACGGTGTGAAGGACTGCGAAGACAATTCAGACGAGGTGGAATGTGATGTTTCTGAATGTGACGGGTCGCGCTTGTCAAGACTAGGATATTGTAACGAGACAAGAGAATGCCGATTCCTAGTCAGGAGGTGCTCCGATGGTTCCTGCCCCGGGGGTCGCCTTTCATGCACCAACGGGAAGATTTGTTACGATCCGAAATCTCGCTGCGATGGGTGGCCTGATTGCTTCGACTTGGCCGACGAAAAAGGGTGTGACCCCAGCGAATGTGACTTGGGAGAAAGACAGTACTGCCATGCCACCAAGAAATGTCTTCCACCAATGAGAGTGTGTGATGGAGACAAAGACTGCCCCACTGGGACCGACGAAATAGGCTGCGGACCGAATGACTGCCGCGGATTTGCCCGGTACTGTAACTCAACTGAAACATGCAGCGATGGACGAAGAAAATGCTCGGATGGTACATGCGCAGATGTTAGTAGGTTCCCATGTAAAACGGAGGATTACTGCCTGCCTTCCTACAAAAGATGCAACGGCCATAGTAATTGTGCTGACGGGTCGGATGAGCTGGATTGCGCTCCGGAGGACTGCCAGGTCCCGGACTTAAGGCACTGCCCGTCTTCAAACACCTGCCGGATGAAGGACCGGAAGTGCGACGACGGAACGTGTGAGGACGACAAATGGCCATGCGCAGGAGAAGACAAGTGCATTCTCAGGAGCCGGCGTTGTGACGGCTGGAGAGACTGCGACAACGGCTCTGATGAGTTGAACTGTACGGCAGCAGACTGTGGGGACGATAGATACTTCTGTGCTCCTACGGGAAAATGCTCCTCTAGTAAGTATCTGTGCACGTTACCTTGTCGTATATACGTATATTTAGCGAATAGATAAATAAATAAATAAATAAATAAATAAATAAATAAAAGTAAAGAAAAAAATTAAGTTCATTTCAGTAAGATCAGTAGTTTGTAAATTGGTTTATTTTTCACGTTGGAAATTATGAAAAGTAACCTTTATTCTAGGTAAATTCGCGTACATACTCAAATACAATACCAGGTAATTGAACTTACGATCTCAGACACAGATAAATATCATATTATAGGAATTTGTTGTCATAGGCTCTGCTCTTCACAGGTGCATATCTGTACATGTATGTAACAGCGTAATAGTCTGTTTACAGTTAGCTGCAAGCGTAGGCCTACGCTTTCTTATAGTAACTGTATACGCAACAGGGAATACTGTACATATATATAGATACCGGTACATAACAGTGTTGCAGTTTCACGTTATTTTATCTGTTTTTATACAGAGAGTTCTTACTGGTGCAATGGACGAATTGACTGTCAAGATAAGTCGGATGAGACGAACTGTGGGCCACGGGACTGCAATATACACACCCGGTACTGCGCAAGCCAGAAAAGTCGAAAGTGCGTGGGCAACGTCAGGCAGTGCGCAGACAAGACGTGCGCAGCTTCCTGGTTTGCTTGTCCCAGTGGAAAGAAATGCATCCCCAATTATAAACGGTGCAATGGGAAGCCGGACTGTGGACGATCAAGAAGGTATATACACGTATACTGTATATAAAGCCGAAATTATTCTCATTTAATAAATTCTAAATGAAGGGCAGTGCGATTACTTTATACAGTTTCCTTTCAAACTTTTTAAAATTCATAACAGATTCGGAGTTTAATTTGTCAAAACTATCCATTTAAAATCATCTAAAGGTCACTCCATGTACTACATGTGAGTAATTGGATCTCATTGTCTTTAATCAGTCATTTAAAAAAAATTCATAACTTTCAGACAGGAGGTAGTGACATATCTTTCTCTCCCCAGTTTCCGCGTATTTCCCAATGTATGTTCGCACGTTACTTTTAGTGTGTATTTTTTTACTTTCACAGGTTACACCAATAACTTAGAGTGCATTTACAGGCCTACCCAACTACAAGACTCGGCACCGAATGATCCTGAATTCACCGGTAGATCAGACCACACTACCCGTTTTCAAGGTGTGAGTCAGTACGCATTTCACAGTATCATACCCCGAACAAATTTTGAGTGGTGATGCAATGCTTTTCAACCCCGCTGAGAATCGTCACTATCACATCGCGTACTAGGCAAGAGCGGTGTCGCGTCTGATACTGTGAAATGCGTACTGATACACACCTTGAAAACGGGTAGTGTGGTTCGATCTACCGGTGAATTCAGGATCATTCGGTGCCGAGTCTGGTAGTTGGGTAGGCCTGATTTAGACAATACGCACTTCACACTTTCCTAACCTAATGTAGTTATATTAACTTGTGTTGTTTACAAAGTACAGTACAACAATTGTCGTATTTGAAACAGTTTTAAATCATGTCACTTACTGTCCTCACACTTGCAGGAGGACGTTCAGAATCACTTAACACGGAACGAGTTCGTGCAAGTAGAATTTCTGAATTCTTCACATCTCAAAAGCAATATGCTACAAGAACTATCATACCCAGTGACTGCCAAGGCTTTGCACATCCGACTGTACATTATACACATGCATGTTCGAATACATAAAAGTTATAATGAGTGCGCTTTTCTTTCTTAGGCATGGCAATGCAGACGAAAAGGGGTGTTCACCAGAAGACTGTCAAGTTGGCACCCGCTTCTGTAACTCCACACTGACCTGTGAGGACAAAGAGACCAAGTGCTCGGACGGCACGTGCGCTGAAGACTACTTCGCATGTAAACTATCCAGCAAATGTATTAACACGGCTTTCCGGTGTAACGGCAACCCTGACTGCAGGGCCGGGGACGACGAGGAAGGCTGCAGGCCCGAGGACTGTCGGAGCCTCGTCTGGGAGATGCGGTTCTGTAACGACACCGAGACTTGCATCCGGAAGGACCAGAAATGTGCGGATGGAAGCTGTTTGGCCGGGAGGGTACCTTGCGCGAGGCAAGACAAATGTATTCCGCTGCGTGACGTCTGTGATGGTATCAGACATTGTTGGGACGGTGCTGACGAGAAAAACTGTTAAACACATGTAAAAAGATGTTAATTTGAAAGACAAACCACGGGTTTGACCTAAAGTGGCTTACTTATATGATTATTACGCATAATGAATTGTGAATTTTAATAATATTTATATAAAACTATTCAAAATAATGGGTGAAAAGGAGTGAAATAGGATCACCCAGATGATGCTCCGAGTTGCGGTTTTGTCAGTGTACAAAAATCAATGAAATATCTACAGCTTTTGCTCGTACACTGTACATACAAATCAAATTTATTTCCATTAGTCTTCTGTATTATACTGTCTTTAGTAACGAAGATATTAAATGTTCAGGGGTTTGGCAATCTCCACGTTTCTTTCTTAGCTTGAAAAACAACTTGGTCCTTTTTATTTTGCAGCGACATCTATTGTCATCTTTGTTGTTGACGATACAGCTCCCTCTGTTGGTCACGCTTATTTGAACTGAATTCAATGTCTCAATCTGCCTTACGCTTTGTTATACTTATACTTCCGCCAGATAAGAAACAATTTAACCCATTTGCATACTAATTACTATACTTATCGACCTGATTAAAAGCAAGCGTTGTTAATCAAAATTGGCATCTGAAAGTTAATTTGCTTGAACGACAAAGATTCTGACCAGACGTTTGCAGTAGTACGAAGTTGCATTCGGCTTCACAAATTTTTATATAAATATTTTATCAGGCTTTTAAATTACATGCCTCCGTGTTTTCCTTCTGTAGTTAGTGGATATATCATCAGTATGATAAGACATTGTCACTAACATTCGGCTCTGTGAAATCTCAGTGTGATTATTCCTGTGAAACAAAATTAATCACTGAATAGAGACAAGTTTGTAAAAACGAGTGGATTTAATACAACAGTGACTTACAGTGTAGCAGCATGTTTTAGCGGTACCATTACATATGTATACATAGTAATAAAATAAAAAAAGATATTCCACATCAATTATTAAATAAGAAAAGGTAAAGCTAGAACATTGAATGTTTTATATTTCGCATTATGACAACTAGAACTGCAGATTGAGGAGGGGGTGAGTATGATAGAATCGTGAATATTATGCATTTTAGATATCGCGATTACAAGCGGCTAAATTAACACTTTTCACAAACTTTCTGAACACCACATATTTCACCTTTGAATCAACTGATCTGCAATTGATAGTGGTTTATAAAGTTCCAGCTTTATCTCTTCAACTCTTCTTGAGTAGTATAGCCAAAATATAAACGTGCGTGTCTGTTAAGGAAGGAGGCGGGTGTCTATGATAACGCTGATTATGCTTTAATTTACATAAAGTCTAGTAAAGATGAGCGGATAAAATAGTCTACGGTAGTGAACATAATAAAGACTTACTCTGACACATAGGTGTACTGGCTAAGTCCACTGTCGGCGGAGTAAGAGACTCTCTAAGATGTGGCTACTAATTCATATGAAGCACCTTGCCGTCTTTTCGTATTTCGTTATAACGCTGGCTGTTTCCGACGTCCTTTGTAAAGGTAAGGTTGGTTTTAGTTTTAATATTTATCTTGATGTCAGTCTTAATTCGCTCTAGTCTTACAAGTTAAGCAAACTGGTATTTAAACCAATGTCTAAATCAATCTCTCAAATATGTGCATTGCGTTTGCGGTT